TCTAATGTTATATCAACAGCTTGCTTTAGGGGGGTTCAACAAACCCGCAGAAAGTCAGTATGTACCTAAACCACTATATATTTTATTTAATTAATGAAATGAAAAGATTGCCATAAATGAAATGATGCAGCTGATTTACCAATCACAAGGACCTCAAATTCAAGATCTGAAAAAAGAGAACTCTGGAGTCTCTGGCTATGCCTGCAGCACCAGTTCATGGAGTCGGACTAACAGTTTCTCCTGATACTTCAAGTTTCAGCAACGATATGTTGAATTTCACTAACAAGAAGGATATGTTGAATTTCACTAACAAGACGACAGAGAGAAAGCATCAGGCAGAGAGAAAGGAGAGAAAGCATCAACTTAAGAACAACAGCCGGGAAAGAACTACCGCAATTCTTGCTCCAATGGTGTGAGCTCTTGGTTTACAGAAATTAATTTTAGTAATTTGAGTTGTATGTAAAGCACAAGAAGAATTAAATGTTCAATACAATTTTTTTTAGATTTAGATTTTTATTTTAAGATTTTTATTTTTTAGATTTAGATTTTTATTTTAAGATTTTATTTGTATTTTTTTTACTCTTGTTTAGTTTGTATATTTTAAAATTTGTAATAAATTGATTCTTATTTTTTAAGTTTTTGTCAAATAATATTAATATTCTTGTATAAAATTTTGTAATCAATTTTGTAAAATTTTTTGAATTTATCATTTTTTTAAGTTAATAAATCTCTGAATTTTTGTATGAAATTTGTCCTTGAAAAATTTTTAGACAAAATTATTATATTTTTTTTAAAAATAATATTTATTAAATAATTTTATATTCTAACGAGCCATTTTTGAGCCGAACACGAACATGAAAATGTTATTCGAGCCGAACACGAACACACTGTTCACGAGTCATTTCGAACACGAGCCGATTTCGAACACGAGCCAGATTCGAGCGAACCGAACACGAGCCGGGCCTGGGCTCGCTTAGGCTCGGCTCGTTTACAGCCCTATACGTAACCTTCTGTTATCTTTTTAAAATTGTATTGAAGCAATCAATGGAACACATGTTGATGCACGTGTTTCAAATAATGAGAATATCTCATTCATCGGCCGTTGTGGATCCCCGGCCCAGAATGTCATAATGGTATGTGACTTTAACATGTGCTTCACTTTCATCATGTCTAGTTGATAATACAGTGCACATGACAGTTGAATTTTTATATCTACAATATGGAATAATAAATACTATTTCTCACATCCACCCACAGGTTTGGTTGAGACCGAACTACCATCTCAATTCATTTTTTCTTCAACACTAGTCATTTAATTCACATCAGGTAAATACTATTTGGTAGATGCTTGGTATTCTTTACTACAAGGGTATCTCAAGCCATATCCTGATATGAGATACCACACACTTGATTTTGAGCGAGTCAACAATATCGTTTGGGGTAGGAAAGTAATTTTACATAAGAGATATTCATCTTTGTGTGGTGTTATTGAGAGGATTTTTGGTGTTTGGAAGAAGAAATGAATGATACTTCTCGATATGTCATCTTACCTGTTTCCCAAACAGATGCAGATTGTAATTGCTACGATGACTCCACATTATATTTGATGACATCAACTTTCGTAGGGCGGACGAGGATCTTGAACATGTTCTCATCGAAACATATGAGTACCGTCTTGGATAGTTTTTGTCACTGGCCGAAAATAATGTTTTTGAGACCTGTACTAAAGATGGGGAACGTGCAAGCAAGATGACAAAGTTGAGGAAACGAATTATGGATGCGATAGTTGGAGGGTGATTAAAATTTTTATCATATTATTAATCGTAGGGTTGCTGAAGAGATTCACTGTTTATTGTATCAATAATTATACATTTCATGTTTATTGCCGTTTATTATGTATTTGACATTGATTGTTTTGTTTTTTACGCAATTTGCAAGTGTTTTTTTTTTCGTTTTGCATTTTTTTTTTCTTTTGTTTTGGTGGGTTTTGAAGGTCTATAATGAGATGTTTGACCTTATGAGTTTTTCCGGAGGACTTATTTGTCGCTATTTGTTAGTGTCACATGTGAAATCCTAATGAAGGCAATCAAGTTTCTTTTTTTTTTGGGTGATTAAAATTTTTATCATATTATTAATCGTAGGGGTTGCTGAAGAGATTCACTGTTTATTGTATCAATAATTATACATTTCATGTTTATTGTCGTTTATTATGTATTTGACATTGATTGTTTTGTTTTTTACGCAATTTGCAAGTGTTTTTTTTTTTCGTTTTGCATTTTTTTTTCTTTTGTTTTGGTGGGTTTTGAAGGTCTATAATGAGATGTTTGACCTTATGAGTTTTTCCGGAGGACTTATTTGTCGCTATTTGTTAGTGTCACATGTGAAATCCTAATGAAGGCAATCAAGTTTCTTTTTTTTTCGGTACTACGGTTGTTGAGGTTCTTCTGGATGACATTTTTTGGTGATATGCATATGTGACACACGAGCTTGGTATTACGTTGATTATTGTTATAGAGTCTTGTCTTCTTGTAGTGATATATTCTTTGGTTTATATATTGAGTTTTGTGAGACCTCACAACCATAAAATCATAATTAATTATTCATGTGATCAATTTTTACTTATGTTATGCCTAATAGAATGTTTTCAAGCATTTCAGGAAAGATGAGCCCGACGATTTTTTCAACTTCCCAAGGATTGCACTGCTACTGTGGACTTCAAAGTTTCCTACTAACTTTACATCAACCACATAACTAAGGGAGTCAGTTTTACTGGTGTCCGCGGAGAATAATGGAAACTAACTATTTTTGGTGGGCAGGTAGGTTGGAAGATTCCACCGCCGTGAGTGATCGGGCATGGAGAGTAGCTTATCTTGTGACATTTGTCGTTTTCATTTTAAAAATAATTATTATCATATTATTAATTATTATTTTAATAGTCTTTTTCATAACTTTAGTAATCATGTTACTCACACTGTTAAGTGAGGTGTTGACCTTTATTTTATAATGTTCTGCACTAGATTTTTGCTTTTAAAGTATTAAATGTATTGGTATGAAAATTTATGTTTCAAAATGATCATTGTCTAGAGACAGCTGCGACATAACTGTTTTCAAACTGCAAGAAATAAACAGACAGTCAACTTACCCGCAATAGCTTTTGTGCAGTAGTTATTATTAAGTTTCTGCTGCGCTAAACAGACCCTAACTTGAAGAGTTGGGTTCGGCTGCCTTATGCACAAATCACACAGCCGCTAATCCTCCCACTCGCTTTTTCCTTTGATCGGCTAGGGCACAATCTCCTCTTGGATGTCACTCGAACCAGCACATGAATGCATGCAAGGGTCGGTTCTCTCCTTCTCATATGATGGTTTTTTTTTTTCTTTCAGCTACAATGCACAAGCACGCGCTACATCGCCCAGCCTTCCTTCTTCCCTTGCATGTGGCATTGTCCCTCCTTCCCCATGGACCAGCACGTGATTGCGATTCCTACTCTTCTACACTTCTTAGGACAAAGTTTGAGCCACCACTTCTTTTCTTGCTCCCTATCTCTTGCTCTTGACTTCTCTTATTTTCTAGTTCTAATGATGTGTCCATCTCCTAATATTAGAACCGTCGAGATATTTATGCCCGAGCCGTTATAGTTATTATTATTATTATTATTTCGATTACTAAATCTGTTCACCTTAATTTTTCAATACACAGATCATGCTTGGGATTCTTTCCCATTTTCAATGGGATGTTGTGGTTCAATTGCTGATCCCACCAGCATGATGAATAGATAACGCTTGTGCAATTTTGTTTCTACCATGGATAACTTTGTTAAAAAGTGCATGAATTTCTAAGTTTTGATGGTTTTTAATAATTTTGTTATATTTAGTTACCTTTTATTATCACACAAAAAAAAATTCATATAAATATTAGATTTAAAGTACAATTTTATTAATATAAAAGAGCTTTATGGATGTACTATGCAGGTAATCATTCTCAATACCAAACTAAACTATGGTTTAATGCCATCATATGGCTTCTATGCATGAAGTCTTCTCTTTTAATGATATTATTAGAAATATCTATATCAATGCAGATAAGGAAATCCTTTTTTTTGTCAGTTCTCTAAAATTGGCTTCCTCTGCCTAATATTTCTATGCTTTTCTTTTTTTGACATGGTTAGAAAAGCTCGAGTTGATTTTTTTTTGGAAGTTGTCCTGCAGTGCCGTCCTTCATAATTTGGGTCTTGTTTAACCTATGGTTAGTTATTTGTGCAATGTTTATTGGGAGTATGATTTTCATACTATTTCCAATTGCTATACTAATATTAGGATTTGGAAGAAGCTTTATAAGTTTTAGTTATTCAAAAAACAGTTGATAACATTTTTTTCTTTAGTCTCTTTATGGAGGGTTAATCAAATAAAAAATAATGTAGGATCTCTATGATATTTTTTTCTTTGCTTCTTTTTAGATTTTTTGGAAGGAAAGGAATGTTTGATGTTTTTGTAATTTTTTTTAAAGATTTGTAGAGGCTAATTGCATACAATTGGAGAAAGACAGCTGACTTTCTTAGCTTAGCTCAGAAATTGAGAATAAATTATCTATAGTGTGAGTCAGTAATGCTATTGGGGTGTGCACAAAACTGGGAAAATTTTCTAGTCCCTTTCTTATCATAAAGTTAATAAAGTTCCATGGGAATATATGCTGCCCAAAAGTTGAATGGATCACAGTTACTCATTTATTTGGACTCTTTTTTTTTGTTGATAATGGAATAATTTAGCATTAGTTTTTTTCATTGTTGCTCTTTGTAACCGTGTGTTCTTCTCTTCACACAGTTGGATTGGTCTATTTTCCTTCCCAAAACTCTCCCACCACACCCAGTTACATACAAACTTGTACCTTATAGACATTGCATGCAATCTGCATTGTTCAATGAGCTATATAACATCTGTTAGTTTTATAGAGCGGAGTCATTGGATTCACAGTTTTCCTTATAAAACTTTGCTTTTTTTCAGGTTTTTTCTGGATACAAGTTTGATCAAGTATTATCAGAATTTAGAAGAACAATATCTCTTGAACTTGGTAAGTCTAGAATATCTGTCTAGATGATTTCTCTTTTGTTTAATACTAGAAAGTCATTTATTTAATTTTGTTTTATTCACGTGTGAAAACTTAGATGGAATTGTTTCATTGAGGATATATATTAAATCAAGCTATTGTAGGCTTGTATTGGTAATCTAGTCAATACAATTTATCAGCTCACATCACACAATAAAAACGAGACTACTTCAAATCCATTTTATCTTAACTTTGTTTTGTTTTTTAGCCTATCATGGGCCAGAGTACTTGTCTATGGAAATTCACAGCGCTTGAGAGTTTTATCATTATTATTATTATTTGAAATTGTTATTGAATGTTCTTTTTATTATTATTATTAGTTTTTTATTTTTTTCCACAACTTAGGAATAGTGAAATTGACTGTAATTGTGAGCAATTTGATCATAAGTTCCTCGAGCATTATCTGACCTTTGTTTGAGATTAGACATAAAATACATGAGGCATACTTGTTTGTAGCTTGCATTATTTATTTAATTTATTTATTTTGACTCTACATTGCATAATAGATAGTGAATTGCGCTCACACTTTATCCTAGCATGGATTATATGACACGGGGAGAACCGGCTCAGGGTTCGGTCTAGGTTGGCTGGATCGGCCGGTCCTTAAGGGGGGAGGGTTGTTGATCGCCCTTTCCTTTCCATTCCTTTCCATTCACTTCCTTTCCTTTCCATTCACTTCCTTTCCTTTCCTTTCTTTTCCTTTCCCTTCTCCGTTTTCCTTCCTAGCACCTACCTATTATAAGCCCCTTCCAAATCTGAATTCTGATTATCTTTATGGCAATCTGAAATCAGAAGTCTTTCGTTTCCAAATCTGAATTCCCTTCACTTATTTAATCTTTGTCTAGTCTAAAACTCTACTTATTTTTATTCTTCTTTTTTATTTTAAACATTGCCTAAAATATATCTTAGTCCTCATTATTAATAAGGGGTGTTATACTTAGAGTTTTCTTTAGTTTTTGTAGTGTGTTGATTTCAGATTCTTTTGTGGAGTTGTTCTCCCTGTTCTAGGTCTGTAGCCAAGGTGCTAGTGGTGCTCCGGCTATATTCTCCTTCCAGGTTGTGTTGGATCCTTTCCTTTACCTTCCCCAATCATTCTTCGCCCCTCTCCTCAGCCGTCGAGCTACCCCTCCTTCATTCTTGCACCTACCCGCAACTATACCTTGTTTTTTAACCCTCCATCTTTCCCAGCACTCCCAATCGACTGCTACTCACCCCACTTCCACTGCCTTTATTGTGGAGCACCTTCCACCCACCAATTCATCTGTCGGTGATCACCTACAAACCTCCATACTTGTTATCCTCGCAATTGTGCACCTTTCCCTCGCTGTTATTGACACTTCCTTGATGCCACTATCATTTTTAACCATCCCAAACCACCTAGCCGACCTCCACCGCCCTTGGAATACACCTCAGTGGTGTGCCTATGTTCTTTATGTTTTGTGTTGTTATTTTCTTTTGTGCTGTGTTGTAATCCTCTTGCTGCATTAATAAAAGTTTGTTTTGAGTGTTTCATTATTTTTCCTACTAGTTCTGGTATCACTTGGTATCAGAGCTAGCCCAACTCTAGTCCTATCGTAGGGTTTTCTGGCATCCACCTTATCCCTCCATCAAAATTTTTCATTCCTACTCTCAACCACCTCTTTCGATTTCCTTAAACCCTAGCTCCACCAAAACTTTCTTTCCTATTCCCAATCATGACCAAAACTTTGACTTAACTCTCAACTCCTCTCGTTGATTTTTAAAATCAGCAACCATGAAGATCTAAAAATTTTGTCCGCTAGAAACAGAAATCCCACCCTAAATTAAATTTTTAGTTCTTTCTCACCCCTTACTTTAAACTCTAGCCATGTCACCATTGAGATATATGCTCGAACCTTCACGGGAGGAGATATGACGAGAGATCAGTGGATTACGGACATGGAAGATGAAATCCAATGAAAGACTACCATTGACCGTGTTCAAAAAGGTCAAGGGGAGAACGAGAAGATATAAAGATGAAGCGAAAAACATAGCGTCAGTTCCTACAAACTTACTATCGCCAAAAGTTGAGAGACCACATGACTAAACGATCCCTCTAGCTAGTATCCAACGAAACCAATCCGCAAATCTGTCACAGCCAGAAGGTGTTGCAAGTGCCATGAATTTGGGCATGTGGAATTAGAATGCTCCACCAAGGGAGATCTGTTTCACTGAGCAGAGTGTTGAAAAATTGTGCAATGACACGGTCAATAAGTGGAAGATGAAGACTTCCAGTGGGATTCTTCACCTGAGGCTAGCAAGGAAGAGTTTCCATCAGTAATGGTAGACGTTTTGGAAGGTAGTGACCTTGATGTAATGTGCGTTTATGCAGAGTATGAAACTGTGGTACCTCGAGATATCGTTTCACAAGCGTTGAGAGAAACCGCAACAGGATTGACCTTGGTGGTCCAAAAGAATCATGAGTTTGAGGAGCCGATGTCAGATATAGGCTCACCACATATAAGAGAAGTACAACTATCGATAGACCTCTTCCGGAGTTATCCCTACGGGGGGAGGTCTGACATGTCAGAAGTGAGGTCATTTTGTGCCATGTCGAGAATATCACGTGGAGTTATTCAGAGGTTATTTTCTGTTTTGCATGGTACCCTCATCAGATGTCCTGTGAGGAGAGATGAACCCCAACTTTGTAATGGGCCCAAAGAGTTCGATGGGGACAAAAATTCCTCAATGGGATTCAGGTCATATCAGTAACGTAGAGGTCTATCTTGAGTGGGTGCTGGTGAGAGGGGTGCTGGTGAGGGGTGCAACCTGTCACAAATTTCACTTCAAAATTGATCCCTCTCATTCCAGTTCCTCAGTTGCACTCAGCCATGATTATGTGGAGTGGAAAAAGCAGGTTACCCCTGGAATGACTCGATACCTGAGCCATGAGAGTACTCGTCTTCCTACAGTTCCAACTTAGGGCTGCCAAAGGTGGACAAATATCTAATTTACCAAAATGTGTTGTGGAATGACAACACATACAAGATTGACTTACCGGGGGACTACAACATTTCATCCACGTTTATTATTGCATATTTGATACCATAATTTGAGGATCTAGAAGCTTCGACAATTGAGGTCGAAGCTTCCCCAACCTCGTGATACGCCAAAATAATGTGCAATTTTATGTATTTATTTTATACTTAAATTTGGTGATATTGCACTTTAAAGAAGGGTATTTTCATGTTTTGCTGCAGATATATCAATTTTAGGCAATTGGAGCAAAAAAAAAAACAAAAGGAAGAAATTTAGAGTCAAAATGAAGCATTTCAGCATCTTGGTACCAGAGACGCCATTTTCCAGAGAGCTGACGCTAGAGGCGCCAGAAGTGCCAAAATCCAGAGAATAGCGCAGACTTCAATAGGCTGACACATTAGCACCATAGACGAATTAACATGGAGTAAGGCAGTTAGTGATTATTTTTGAATGGTTTTTTAAGGCTCAAATGAATTCAAACATCCCATGGAGTGATTCAATGTGTATAGAAACTTTGGAAAGGCTCTTGAATGAAGGGACTTGTCTCTTGGTGTGAAGAGGTGTGTTTTTTAAGAAAAAAAAGGAATTTTGATTTTTTTTTTTAAATGAAGGCTAATCCTAATTAAAAAAGAGGAGTTTAGAGAAGAAGAGGGTGGCGTGAGGTTTAAAGAGGAGAGGTTGACGTGAGAGAAGTCTTGGGAGAAGAGAGAATTTTCTTCTAGAGTTGTAAGAGGAGAGTGAATGTGAGAGATTTCTTTTTCATTACCTTTCTAAGAGAGAATTGAGTGTGATTGTAAAGAGAGAAAATGCTTAAAGGGAATTTCAAGGGATTTGTTTGAGGAGAGTTAGATAAGTTGTGTTCTTCCCTTTCTTTATTTTGTAAACTTATTTTTATATATAAAATCTATATTTTGTCGTATCTTTCTCATGAATTCTAAATAGTTTTTTTTATCATTTTTTTTACAGTGAAATATGGTTTTGTGAAGAATTACTTTTGTTATGTAAGGTTTTAAATGTCAATAAGTTGTGATGATTCTAATTCTGATCTTCATTTATTTTTCAATCTGGCTAATTGAAACGTTAGAATTTGTTGAGAAACATAAGATTCGAAAAATATATGCTTTCTATAAAAAGGTATGAGTCACATTCAATTTCATGGGTGAGAATGTAGTCCATGGGGTTGTGTGCAAATAAATAGGGAAATATAATTTAATGGACACAAAATTGGAGATTTGAAGGTGATAGATTAAAATTATCAACTTGGTCCAGTTGCTTGGAAACTAAAGCGAGATTAAAAAAAGGGGCGGCGGTGTGATAGACCGAGAGACTTATGCGCAACAAAGAAAAAAATGGATCGTGTGAAGAAGAGGAGCTCTCTAGTGTGCGACCGAGCCGAGCAGTGACTAGAGGAAGACTTGTTGTGCTCGAAAGAGAAAAAAAAAGTAGAGTGGCAGTTTTGATGAGATCCCTCACGCAATTTAACAGAAAGAGGTATGAGTGTTTTAATAAAGTGATTTAATAATATATTGAATAAAAAACATAAACGGGATTACATAAAGTAAAATATAGATGTTGTATACACAAATAACGTAAAGTTAATAGCTGATTAAAATATTTTTTTATTTAAATTTTGGTAATGTAAATATCATATTTTGTTAGGTTTCCAAATTAGAAGTCGACGTCAAAGCAAATCAAATAACAAATTAATCGTCGTCGTGGTGAGTACTCGTACATTTAATATATAGTAATAGTTTTGTTTTCACTCAAGTACTTTGCAAATACTGATACGTACTATCTTTATTTTGATTGATATATTCTTTTATTTATTCATAATATTATTATGAATGTTAGATGCTTGTAGCTATTTATTATCATGCATTGCTTACTTGAAAAGCCGAAGGGCTGATTTTATTGAAATAGATAGTGAAATAGTGAAGATACATGAAGGTTGTATGAGAGGGCCCAAT